AAGGGCAGGAGGGACAGGTCAGCCCGGCTCGGGTCACGGCTCTGGGGCAGGAGGGGCTGGGAATGGGAAATGTTTGGGTTTGGGGTGGTGGGAGTCACCCCGGAGCGCTGGGGGTGAGCAGGAACCTGGAGCAGGGCTGTGCCACCGTGCCCTGGGTGACAGCCCTGGGTGACAGCAGGGACAGGCCAGCCCTGTGGCCAGCCCAGCCCTGTGCCCAGCCCCGCTGTCCCCGCAGGAAGGTGAACGGGGTGACGGAGGAGAAGCCGCTGTCGGTGCCCCGGGACATCAACCTGCAGCTGGACACCAGCCCCATCACCGCCGTGGACGCTCTGGGTAACCCCGGTGTCCCCAGGACACCCCCTGGCACCTGTGGGTGTCCCCAGCGTGGTGCCGTGTCCCCATGTCCCCCTGTCCCCTGTCCCCATGTCCCCATGTCCCTGTCCCTGTCCCCGCAGTGCTGCGCTATTTCCTGGAGTACCAGTGGTTCGTGGATTTTTCGGTCTATGCCAGCGCTGTGTACGTGTTCAGCGAGGGCTATTTCTGCCTGGTCAGCCCGGCCCGGGAGACCAACCTGGGCGTGCTCTGGTGCCTGCTGAGCGTGGCCTTCTCCRTGTATCCTGCGGGATTGGGGTCTGAGCCCAGCGGTCCTGTGCCCCCAGCCCCGTGCCCCAGCCCTGTGCCCCAGCCCGGCCATAAACCCGATTTCATCCATTATTCATCACAAGTTCTGAGGGTGCCCCGCAGAGAGGGCGGTCAGTGGAGGCTCCGTGCTGATGTTTGGGGGTCTCACAGGGTCGGGGTCCCCTGCTGTCCCCAGTTTTTCCTTGACCCCTGCCCCAGCAAGGTGTTCTTCATGGTGATGCGCCACTACTTCCGCTCCGAGGAGGGCGGCGAGCGCTCCGTCTGCCTCAGCTTCGCCTTCCTCTTCCTCCTGCTCGCCATGGTGGCCCTGGTGGTCCGTGAGGACTACCTGGAGTTCGGCCTGGAGGCCGGTGGGTGGGGGATGGGGGCGGCGAGCGGGGAGGGGGGACTGGGGGCACTGGGACCCCAATCATGGGGGGATCACAGCACTCAGGGGTCACTCCC